TAAAACCTAATTTTATGATACCTTATTATGTATCTCCTCTTGGTCGTTAATCACACAACAAGCCGATACTAAGACAAATGAGAAGGAGTGTACACACTTCTATGTAGACCAAAACAAACTTATTTGTGAATAATGAAAGGGGATACTTAACCCATATTGCAAGGAATAAAAGGATTGTGATGCAGAGGGAGGCACCGAATTCGGAACAAAGAAGATGGAATCGGATGAATAAGGGAGGTGATTTTTTGGAAGATAGAAAGAGGAGACCAATGAGCTCAATGTTAAGAAGATGGAGGGAGCTGATGTAGCTAGCTGTCACTACATGATTGGTTGGTATGGAATAAAACACTAAACGATGTCACTTGGATCTGCCTGGCAAAAAAAAAATGATCGATCAAACTAATACATGATCGATCGAATAGTTTCAAACTACCACATTTATATCGCTAATATGAGGGGATTGAACAATCATTCTTCTGCTACAACAGCACCTCTACATTGATCTATCGCAAAATAAATGATTGCTCATGAAGTTGCAAAATGTTAATGATCAATCCAATCACTAACTGATCGATCCCTAACTTTCAGAATGTGACCAATTAATACAACAATAGATCGATCGTGTAAAAAATTGATAGATCAGTAAGTAGTAAGTGTATTTGATCGATCACAAAATATCGATCATATTATTCCAGATTTTAAAAGTGATTCAGAAGTAATAAAAATACTGGGGAGAAAAGATCGATCGTTAACCTATTTGATCGATCAAATTAGTAACTGAATTCGATCGATCAAAACTATATATTGATCGATCATGTTATTCCAGATTCATAAAGAATCCACTGTAATACAGGTATTGGGGAGAAATGATCGATCGTTAACAAATATGATCGATCAAATTAGCAACTAAATTCGAACGATCAAAAATATATATTGATCGATCATGTTATTCCATATTCATAAAGATTCCATTGCATTTGTAAATAATACCATAAATGTGGTATAAAATCCATTAAAGTTGTAAATATTCCCACAAATTTGGTAAACAATCCAATGAAATTGTAAATATTCCCATAAAGAATCTATTGAAGTTGTAAATAGTCCCATAAAAGTGGTAAATGATTCATTAAAGTTGTATATCTTCTTGGATTAGTTGTAAATTATTCATAAATTAACCACACATCTGTGTGTTCTGATCGATCAATCATATTAAATGATTGATCACGGATTAGTAAATATCATAAATTATACCATTCAATTAGTAAATACTGCTATCCTCTAGTAATTTTGTCCACAAAACTGGTATATATTCTTCAATTACTTGTAAATTATTTACAAATTAAGTATAACTCTCTTAAAAAATATTCACAATTCTCGTAAAAATAAATCGATAACTCTCGTAATTATTAACTTTATTATAGTAACAAAACCTTTAATACAGTAATTATTTACACAAATGTAGTAAAAAATCCACTGAAGTTGTAACTATTACCATCAAAGTCGTAAACAATCCAATGCAATTATAAATATTGTCATAACTGCGGTAAGAATTCTATTGAAGTCGTAAATATTACCAGAAATTTGGTAAACAATCCACTGAAGTTTTAAATATTCCTATAAAAAATCCATTGAAGTTATAAATATTCTCATAAAAAAGGTAAATGATCCACTGAAGTTGTATATCTTCTTGAATTAGTTGTAAATTATTCATAAATTAAGCACACATATGTGTGTTCGGATCGATCGATCATATTTAATGATCGATCATGGGCTAGTAAATATCGTAAAAAATACCATTGAATTAGTAAATACTTTTCTAAACTAGTAATTTTTAAATATTGTCATAAATGTCGTAGGAATACCATTGAACTTGTAAACATTGCTTGCAATTTGATAAACAATCCACTGAAGTTATAAATATTCTCATAAAGAATCCATTGAAGTTGTAAATATTTATATCAAAGTGGTAAATGATCCATTATAGTTGTATATCATCTTGGATTAGTGGTAAATTATTCATAAACTAAGCACACATCTGAGTGTTCGGATTGATCGATCATGGACTAGTAAATATGGTAAAAAATACCATTGAATTAGTAAGTATTTTTCTAAACTAGTAATTTTTAAATATTGCCATAGATGGGGTAGGAAATCAATTGAAGTTGTAAATATTCCCACAAATTTGGTAAACAATGCAATGAAGTTGTACATATTTCCATAAAGAATCAATTGAAGTCATAATTATTGCCATAAAGTAGGTAAATGATGCATTGAAGTTGTACATTTTCTTGAATTAGTTGTAAAATTATTCATAAATTAACCACACATCTGTTGTTCTGATCGATCGATCATATTTATTGATCGATCACGGAATAGTAAATATCATAAAAAATACCATTGAATTAGTAAAAAAAATTCACAACTCTCGTAAAAAAAATTGATAACTCTCGTAATTATTAACTTCATTATAGTTAAAAAAACATTTACTATAGTAATTATTTACACAAATGTGGTAAACAATCCACTGAAGCGTTAAATATTGCCATAAATGTCGTAAAAAATCTATTGAAATTGTAAATGTTGCCATAAATGTGGTAGGAAAGCCATTGAAGTTGTAAATATTCCCACAAAATTGATAAAAAAATCCACTGAAGTTGTAAATTTTCTCATAAAAAATCTATTAAAGTTGTAAATATTCCAATAAAAGTGGTAAATGATTCATTGAAGTTGTAAGTATTCCTGAATTAGTTGTAAATTATTCATAAATTAACCACACATATGTGTGTTATGATCGATCGATCATGGACTAATAAATATCATAAAACATACCATTCAATTAGTAAATACTATTCTCCACTAGTAATTTTGCCACAAAACTGGTATATCTTTCTCGATTGAAGTCTCAAGTATTCCCATAATCGTAAAGAATCTATTGAACTTGTAAATATTGCCATAAATGTGCTAGGAAATCAATTGAAGTTGTAAATATTGTTACAAATTTGTTAAACAATTCATTGAAATTGTAAATATTTCCTTCATTATAGTATCAACATTGTATTATATTTTAATAAAATTACTTTTAGTAATCATGATGTACTATCTAACATGTCATTTCATTATCTTGTCTTGTCTACCAACCGGTATTCAACAAGTAACCGATTACTATTTGGAAAAAAAATAAATTTCAAAATACACATTAATCAACGGCTCACTTTTCTTGTTAGATAAATTTACGATGCACGTTGAATTTTCGGTACCCTATCGAAAATCCCCTTGGATGTACTGTAGCCTGGTCCTACACTAACACATTCCCTTGATTGACTCCATGTGTTCCAAACATTCCTTTTCTAACTTCAAAAAAAAGGAAAAATATGATGTTATGTTCATGTATTTGATTCTCTTGGGGAACTTCCATCATCGGTGCCAAGGACCTCTCTGCATCGTAACTGTGCTTCCACCGCCGCTACTCCATCACCACTCTCTAATCTCTCTCCATTCCTTATCAAGAGCCACCAAGCAACCCAAAACCCAAATCACCCATCACCAACAACACACTGCCATCACCCAATATTAATTCACATCAAATCAAAATAAAAAAATCCAAGACTGATTTGGGTCTAGCTCACGTCATTTGAAAAATCAAAATAGTAGTGGTTATGGGTGATAACTGGTTGGAAAAGATGAAAAGGAAGAAAAGAAAAGGTATCGGTGGTTGCTAGTGGATATGAGTGGTGAAACAAGGTAAATGAAAGAGATATGAAGAAGTGTTTGGCAATGGTTAGATATAGTGGACTGGTTGGAGAAAAGAAAAGGCGAAGAAGAAATGTGGGTATGGTTTAAAAACTATTTATGCCAAATCAATTATTAAAAATAAATAAAACAACTTTCCCAAATTTGTATTAAACATATTTCTAAATGCTATTTGGATATAATTTATGGACATAATTAGGGGATTTAATGCATTATGATCATTGAACTGATAGTGTTCGGACTCAGTGATAATTTAATGTTGGGACTCATTGACAATCTAATGGCCAAAATCGTTAAGTCTCTAAATTATGTTCTAATAACATTGCTCTTTGCAAATAGTAAAACATTAAATCATAGTGCTCAATTCAAAGCATAGAAACCCAAATAAAGGAAAAATATTATTTGAACATAATTTGAGGATTTAATCAATTACAGTCGTTGGATTAAAAGTTTAGAATAATTATATTTAGACCTAAAAATTTAACCTAATTTGTTGACATAATGATGTGATTTTAGACTAATGGACCTTTGGTCTAATGTACTCTTTATCTAGTGATGACTTTACCTTTTTGATGTCAAGAGTACAAGCCCTCTTCCCCCTCTTCCCTCCCCCTAAAAAAAAAAATATTTTAAAAAAAAATGATATAGTATTAGTGGAACTATTTAATTAACACCTACTTTCAATATTTGACAACCAATCAAAAGATCACAGAAAATTAAGTCATAAAATTAGATCGATAAATTAAGTCTTAATAACGTTGCTCAACAGTTTATTTCACCTAACAACTCGTCTTAATTACATAAACTCTCTTAGAACTCTTGCATCATTAAATAAAAAAAATATTAAAAATTTATCAATAAAAATAAATAAAATTATAATGAGCTAATTTATGAACTTAATTGGTGACATAATTCATCATCTCAAGTAACGGCCAATTAAGGAAACTTGAAGGTAAAGTATGATTTGATTTCTAAATCTCATCAAGTTGGGGTGAGTAATTAAAACACTAACGAAAAAGGAAACAAAATCTGAGAGACCTTAAACCCAAAGATCTCATCAGACACAGCCAACGACACATATATATAAAATCAAAAATTCAGAAAGAAGAACAGCCAACCTCCTGAGTCCCAATGTACAAACCTCCGCCATCGTCTCTCCATAAACCCTAAATTCCACCACCCGATGTATTCTTCACCTCCGTTTGTTTGATTTCTCTCCCCTCTCTCCGAAAAGTTTCACCATTGTAAAGCAATGGAGTCGTTGATCGAACTCTGCGATCTGATCGCACAAAATCTTTCGCAGTTTGCTGATAAATTGGCTTGGATTTGTGGCCGATGTCCACCGATTGACTCTGTACTCGCCACCGCTAGATTTCTTTCTAAATGCCCCAATTTCGACGACATGAGGCCCTAACCGGCAGTCCTAGGGTTTTTTAAGTCGATTCCGTATTCTTTTTGGCCACAGTCGTTTGGAAGCGATTCAATCGATTCGTTCGATTTTTTGAGTTATGTGAATAAAGCCAGTGAGTTGTCGTCGGATTTTGCCATGGCCGTTCCGGAGTATACGGGAGAGATTGTGATGTCGGCGATTAACAATGTCAGTGGGGATTTGGGGGTTTCAAGGGTTTTCTTGAATGCTCTGTTGCAGTATTTTCCTCAAATTCTTCCTTCCTATGCGCACAAATTAGTGTCCACTCTTCTAGATCGATTTGAAATTTCGGTTCCTAGTTCACCGAAGCAGCTAGTTGCGATAACACCTGAAGCGTCATCGTCTCAGAGTTCGCCCCTCAGTGCAAACCATTATCAATCAAATGAGAGAAACAGTCCAGGAAACGAGGTCAGCAATGCCTCTAGTTCTTCGAGCGGTGAGGCTTCAAGGGTTACAGATGAGAAGACCAGTGCATTGTCGTCGAAAGGATTGGTGATGAATGGGGGCAGCCTTGCGTGTAAGAGCAATGTGGATATATTTGGTGCTGGTGTTGGGTTCAATGATGGAGGAGGAGGCAGTTCCGCGACGTACAAGCGAGTGGTAGCCTCTTTTGAGGAAGAGCCTGTGGAGAGCCTTCAACAACAGGAGATTGCTTTCAAGCTGATTGGGACACATATTGGATAAAGTCCAGATTGATCTTAAGCTTTTGGAACAAGTGAGGGCCATTCGCCAAGGAGCAACTCCAATCAATGTTGGCTTTCCTAAAGGTAAAATTCATGGGTATCCACCCTTTTGGTTTTGAATTTTATTGATGTCTTGATGAAAAAACTATATAGATGAATGATAAAGCTGGTTAAAATATTTGGTTTTGTTGGCAGATAAGGAAGCATGACCGGACGGAACAGGGGCAGTTACTGAAAGTTGGAATCAATAAAAAGCTGTCGGTTTATCAAGCTGCAACCAGGTTACAAATCAATAGTCTTTCATCTGTTGATTTGGATGGGAAGTCAACGAAGAGGTTGTTGCATGGAACTTTGGCATTGTTGATAGAAGCTGCTGAAGCATGTTTATTCTCTGTCTGGCGAAAGTTGAGAATTTGTGATGAGCTCTTCGGCTTATTGTTTGTGGGGATTTCCCAAATTGCTCTCACTCGTTGTCGTCAGCTGCTGCGTGTCTTGCTCATTCGCTTCAAACCCCTTGTGTTAAGTACATGTGCTCAGGTACATTATCTGTTTGCTTAGGGCTATCTCCTGCAGCTGGGGCGTATCTTGGTAACATGATTCTGCAATATGTTGCACTTTTTTGGGTAAACTTTCATTGTGATATATATATATTTTCAAACAGTCAGAGACTTGAGGCAGATTTTCTAGGACCTCTATTTCTTGTTGTGGCTGAAATATGTTCAGATTTTGATCCTATTGTATATGTGGAACCTGCACTTTTGAAGTTATTCCGCAATTTGTGGTTCTATGTCGCTCTCTTTGGGTTTGCACCTCCAATTCAAAAAACTCTATCTCTGATAAAGTCAGTTTCCCGTAATCTGAATAGTGTAGGGAATTTCTCTTCAAGCAGTAGGTGGGCCATACATGTGGAATACTCGGTGGCCTTCTGCTGTTCAGCGTATTTCTCAAGGGACCCCACCTCTTGTAAGTTGATCAATAAAAAATCTTCCCTGATTCTGTTCTCCGTTTGACTTGATCATTGATATCTCTTTATATTTTGCTCTGAGATTTAGCTAAATTATGTTTACTCTTTTATGGATGTCTTATTCATATGTAGGAATTCGACCAATTTATTGCTACTTCTGGAGATCAATTTTGTCATATTTTAATGGTGATAAAAAAAGTCAAATTTGATTCACATCTGAGAAATCTAATATGACGTTTACATCGCAGCGATGCATATATATTGCATGTATCTGTATCATTAATTTTATCAGTTGTTTTTTTCACGTACAAGTATTGTGACTAAATTGTAGTTTTGGAGATAAACCCCAGCTTACAAGCACCTATTCCAAAATTGATTAAGCATACTTTCCTCATCTATTTTGCCCAGTTTGCCTAGAACTTTTTTATCCTATTCACCAAATACTTATTCTGAACACTTGATGTTCTAATGTCTGTTTCATATTTTATTGGGTCATTTATTTATTTATCAATATGGTGGCTCGAAATGGGAAATTTGTAATGACTAAGCATGTATAGTAATTTATCCTTGCAATTATGCTTGAAACAGTTTAATAAGATCTTTTTAACCAAAAATTATATCTCTATTCAATTGATTTTCGTATAAGTATATGTTTAAGTATGAGAATGATCAATCTTTCCTTTTCTACTAGGCATTATTCAAGGCATAAAACTATTCTGCTGCCAATTACTTCTTTACAGTATTTTATGTCTTACATTTTTGTGCCATAACTCAATGTGACAATTACTTGAATTTTTGTGTCAATTAATTGCTTACAGTATTTTATTTCTTAAATTTTTGTGCTATGACTCAATGTGTAATATTGCTTATTGAGTGCAGTATCTTAAAGATGGTGGAGAAAAGACTGACCTATTGAAATTTGGGAGGCTCATAAAGCCGCAATCCAAGCGTTTTCTTGTGAAAGGTATAGATTTTTCTTTGGGTATTGTATGGTATTGATTTTGTGGTATGATTTTGTTAGCATTTTCTTTTCTTCTCTTCTCGTGAAGTTCTTAATTATTATCCCTGATCTCCATCTTTTGCTTAAGATTTCTTGTAGTTATCGAACTATAAAGACACTGATGTTGAAACTTGAAGATCCTACACCATGTTGCTTTGGATACGAATGAACAATGACAGTTTTGTTTATGGTAATTCAGGTTTAAGTGACACAACTCTACACATACTTTTGAAGAGCATACAGGTCGGCTTCTTGCATGACTATTCCTTTTGAATATCTTTGAGTAGATGTTATAGTTTTCATTTTTAAATATTAATGTGTTTTTATAAAAATTGTGGTGGTTGTTTGAAAGTTTTCAATGGTAGTAATTATCATATTCTAGATGATCTTTAAATTTGCAAGTTATGAAAAAAGAACACATTAGTTTTTAGACCCTAATTGACTTGGACGCAGAAATGGACGTGTCTTGGTGGCATCTTGCATCATGACGCCCCGTGAATTCAAAGCAAGGCGATGTTGCTAAGATATTCGACAAAAGTCCAAGCGCCATGTCTTAGGCTCTCGTTATGTTTTCTGGTTCAGAAGATGTCCGCTAAAGTCTTTTTTGGAAAACCTCCATAAAACATATATAGGGGATAGAGATAGTTGAGGGGCACCGAGGGTCTAGCTAGCCTCTTGCCCTCAAGCTTTGGCACCGTTGAGCAAAATATAAATGTGTCTATGTTTCTTTGGTGTATTAGTATGTGTGAACAGAGTGTATGAGTGTGTTTCTTTGATGTATTAGTGTGTGTGAACAGAGCGTATGTTTTTGGGTTTTTTTTAGTGTGTATGCGTTAGTTTATGTTTCTATAATATTGTGTTTTATTGTGTTTTTTTGTTTGGTGTAGGAGTATGTATGTGTTTTTGGGTATATTAGTGTGTATTAACACGGTGTGTGGGTGTGCATGTATATGTTGATTAGCTGGGGTGTGTGTGTGTTTTGGTGTATTAATGTGTGTTTTTTTAGTGTATTAGTGTGTGTATTTGTGTTCGTGTAATAGCGTGTGTTATTGTATATTAGTGTTCGTGTTTTTGGTGGATTAGTTTGTGTTAACACTACATGTGATGGAATGTATGCATTTTTGTGAATGTGTGTGTGTTTAGGTGCTTCATTGTGTGTGTATTTTTTGGTGTATTAGTGTGTGCATATTTTAGATGGTGTATTAGTGGTGTGTGTGATATGAGATGATGTATTAGTGTATGTGTGTATGTTGTGTTTGTGTTTGTGTTGTGTTTGTGTATGTGTAATAGTGTGTTTGTGTGTTTTGGTATGTTGGTGTCTATGTTTTTTGATGCATTATGTGTATTTTATTGTGTAGTAGTGTTTGTTAACACATTGTGTGTGGGTGTGTATGTATTAGTGTGTTATGTGTGTTTGTTTCAGTGATGGTGTGCGCATACATGTGTATTTGTGTAATAGTTTGTGTATGTGTGTGCATGCCTTTGGTGTGTTAGTGTGCATGTTTTTTTGGTGTATTAGTGTGTGTATGTTTTTTAATTTAAGGGGGCAGTGCGTTTTCATTAGTGTATGTGTATTCTTTTAATCAATGTGTTTTTGTGTGTGTTTTTATGTGTACAATGTGTATTTATTTTTATCATTTTTTTTTGGTGTATAGGTTTTTATGTTTATTGCGATTGGTTGTTGGCGTGTATGTTTTTATGATAGTATGTCTGTATCTTTCTTATCTCGAGTGTTTTTGTGTTTTAATGTGTATAACATGTTTGTGTGTGTGTGGTTATTACTCTGTTTTTTTTTTTTTATCGAAGTGTTGGTGTGTATGTGCCTCCTTATGTGTCTGTGCTTGTATTTTTATTTTTTATATGTGTATCTTTATTACTATATGACTATTTTAAAGTTTGTTTCCGGGTTTCCGGATTGAGTCCATTTTTTATAACCCTATTGTAACAATTTTTGAGTTTTGCCTGGAAGTTCACACAATGATTTATCAAGCCTTTTACTTGTAGAAGTGGATGCCTTGGTACCTTTGTTTAAGAATTCTTAACTGCATTGGTTGATTTTCGAAAGTAGGTATGTTTTTACCATGTGGGTTCATTTAGATCATCTGTTAGGTTGTTTCGTCAAAAAGTGAGTTTCTTATGTTTGGTCAAAGATTGATGGAAAACTCACCGATCTCAAGAAAGAGCCACTTAAGACATAGTACTGCAAGACGCTAGCCGAGTTTAGTAAGGAGCGTTTATGTGTAGATTCTCAATACATCCATAAATATGTAAGCACATACTTACAAATTAGGTACCTAACCTTCAGGTGAGCTTGTTATAGATGAACCTTATTTTGTAA